GAGAAGTGTTCATTTACACACCGCCATTAATTGCCAGGTTACACCCCTTAACTGGTTATTTTTAATTTCACATTAAAGGAAGTTGTGAGGTATGAAAATGTGTTGACGCTTGGGTTAATGAAACCTCTTCGACACAATGAAATAAACTCAAACAAAAATGCCATCCAGTTTAAAACACAGTCTCTGACATTTTTGAGATCAACTGACAACAGTAAAAGTAAACAATGTGTCAACACATTTAATGTGACTTACTGCTTTCTTGTTTGGGTATTAATTTACCCGGCTAAAGCAACAACACATTGGAAAATGTGTAAGCAAGAAAAAAAGATGACTTTGTGTTTAAAGGGGTATTCTGGCAATTTAACATTGCAAATTTGTTTGGAGAGTGAAAATTAAAATGGTCAAAAATGGGGAAGCGGAACATCAGACCTTCTAGTCACACGTATAGGTCAAGCTTCAAAAGAGCTGGTCCTTCAATTCCCAGAATGCAACTCTATAGTGTTTTTCATTGAGCCTTCCTTGCCTGTTAAAAGCGTTAATTTTTCAAACTCAGGGTCCTCCATTTATAATATAATATTTGAAGTCTGAAGCCCAAATCAAGATAACCCTGGTGACATCACTATGACATCATCAGGGTTATTTTCTTGAGGCTTTAGAAAGCTCCCCCCGAGTCACAAAAGACATGCAACTGTTTAACTGTTTTAACAGGCTGAGTAATACTCCCACTGAGTATTACTAAAGGTAAGGTGCAGTGCTCCTTTAGATTTACTTGTCAGTTTAATTGTCACATAAACCCTATGTTCTAATCTTCTTTTTTTCTCCAGTCTAATAATACTGTACAGTTTGCATCATATGGCACAAGTCAATAGAGTGTCTTGATATCCTTTGCTTTCCTGAGAAGCCTATATACAACTCAACACACAGTTTAATAGAGGAATTTCAGTCCGCATCTGTGTGTGATCTGCTCTGGAAACTCATCAATAAGTGAATTCCTACAGCATGATGGTGCTGCTGGGAAACGTTTCCCTCTATTGAGTGTTTGTACGCTGCTGAAGGAAGCGCCCTCCGTTCTTGGGTCACTTCCAAGCGACTGTAATTGATGATTTTGAGCAAGTGTTACGTCCAAATCCGTCTTTGTCATGCTCAATATATTACATTTATTTCGTGCAAATCTTCCACCCGGGGATTGATTTGATTAATGACCCAACGACACATTATATTCATGTTATCCATTGCTTCTCAACCGCTCACTGTGGCTCTTGTGCTGTCATTGCCAAGCTTCCTACTGACCCCCGGTGGTGTGGAATTTATGGTGCAGGGCTCAGGACCATGGACAGCGCCAGAGTTCATGAAACGTATCAGTGAACTACTAGATAATTGTGGGTGCTTGATGGGCAACATTTTGTGACATATATATGATCATAAACCACATATTTTAATAGCCCATTAAATATTTAATTAAGCACTCTGATCAGTTAAACCACTTAGTGTACAGTTTTGAACATAAAGACCACGCTGGACAGCTGTAGATGTAGAGCTTCTCAAACTGCAGAGCTTGTTTTTAGTGAAACATTACATTAAATTTTTCCAATAAAGCTGCAAGGTCTCACACAACAAAGAAATGTAGCACATTACAAAATATTGTTGTCCACAACTGTAAACGGATCTCGAAGGATTTTTTGGTACACTGCAGATTGTTATAACAGTTTTTATGGCACTTTCAAAGGTGTCTGCGGAACTGTTAATATCCTTAAGATTACATTTTAAATCAGCCCTCTAATTAATATTTAATTCCTCACAAAATCTAAACATAGTTTCAATTTGCCATGCCAGTAGAGCTGTTTTTCGCCAACAGTTTGTTGGCTTTAATTCCTTTTCTGCGTGAGAGCGTGCCTTTTATAAGTAAACATTTGCTTCTTCATGCAGAGACAAAAGTCTTGCCCTTCAGAGAGTGCAGCTGTTTGTAAGCGTTGCGGTGCCAATAACAGCGGCCTTTGCTGCAGCATACAGTCTGTAGAATATGTGAAGCGAAGAGTTTGATTAGCCCAGAGGCTCAGCAGAGAATTCGTCTGCTGCCAACAATCAATGAGCAGCCTGCAAAGCATGCCAATCAGTTTTATTGGTTTCTCCTTGCTTTTGTGTTATCACATGCATCATCACCACCAATAGAATATCACCTTCTGTGCCTCCTTTTGTGCCATAGCAATGTTGATCTCTGGCCCACCACTTTGCTCCAAACTGAAATGTATCAACAACTATTGGATGGATTGCCATGAAATCTGGTACATGGTGCCAAACCTTAATGATGATCCCCTGACTTTTCATCCAGATTGTGTTTATGACCAAATACCTGGAAAACAAATGACACTCCCAGCAGCCTCAGCTTACTCTGTTTTTTGTTAAGTCACTAGAGGTGATCGGCAGATGTTTTGATGAGTGCTTCTCTTTAGGTCTACAAAACCTTCATGTATAATGTCTTTAACAGGCTCCTGGCTTGGTGTTACCTGAGAAAGAGTCATCATTTAGGCAGAGGGTGTAATTTAGTGTCTTGTCCTGTGGTAATGAAGGTCTTGTATCATTAGCTGGCCACTGTGTCCTTTTCTGTCCTGCCTTGTGTTGGCTATGTCCTGTTCCTTTTGTCCTGTGCTGTTAATTGCTGTCTTGTCCTGAGCAATGTTTCAAATATCCGTGTGGTCTAATGGGGCAATGCAGCTGGTAACCGTATAAATCCAGTGCCATTGACCGTCATGCTTCACATCATTTAGATGATCGATAGAAAAACCATGTAATCCAATATAATCCAACATTTTCCAAGTATCGTACAATTGATTTTTACTGAGCACAGAGAGGGTTAGGGTAGGGTTATTCATATATTTCACAGAGGTAACCAAATGAGGGAGTGAACACCAGATATAGGAGAAGATGAAGGGACAGATAAAACAGGACACAAAGGACAGCACACAGCAGCCACCTAATGGTACTATTAACTCATTACACAGAACAGGATGTTGCAGCATGCTAGCAACAGAGAAGCTAACTAAGAAATAGAGTTATCAGGCCACATGTGTGTGTATCTCAGCATGAATGTGGCTGTTATACACAAGATACACAGAGTGGAGGGGAGGTTTATTATGCAAGGACAGCTAGAAAATCTTCTTTGGTTTAATACCATGTGAAAAAAACCTACAAAGTATGCAGCAACAACAGCAGTACACTACAGTATAGGACATTCAGAAGTACCATTAATGCAGTGATCCTCTCCCACTGTTAAGCAGCTCAGATGTACTGTAAGCTGTGCAGGGACAGAAATAACAGCTGGACAGAGGGATTGTGTGACTGAAAAGAAACTCACATTCACATTATGGAGGTTGAAAATACATTTTAAAGAATTCAGTCATGCACACTACATTTGTGATTATCTCAGTGTTTTTATAACAGGATTATTGGAACCAGACCTCAGCATGGCAGCATCATCATCAAGCAATCAGCGTGTGAAGGATATGAAGCACCCAAGTACAATTAAGCTGTCACCAAAAAACAGACCTTTGTGAATGCTTGATTAGCTGAAGCTAAAGAAATGCATTGCGCATTCTGGTGTTAAGTTGCAGCCCACAAGCAGCAGTGTTTAACGATGAAAGATGGCCATATCTTTTCTTCTATATTTTTCTAAAACCTGGATGAGGATCAGCAAAAATTCTCAGAAATCCACTCAATCTCCAATTTTGTTTTGTCCTTTTTGTTGATTTTACTTCTCTATTCCAGATAGAGAGGTAGATAAACCTTAAAGCCTCTATGAACATTACTGACCATCTATTGTAAACAGAGGCTAAAACCAACAGATTGAATAAGGGTTTAAAATACACTATTTATGTTAAGTTTAAAGATGGCAATGACTTCATAACAAATCTAAATTGATATGAAAACCAATTTTCACGCAAAATGTAAATGAGAAATTCATGTCTGAAACTAGTATTTCATCACCCTATGCAGGCTACACACCTCTGTGAAGCTAGGTGGCTCAGCTAGAAGCTCAAATCAACTATTTTTATCTACACCAAACACACATCAAACACCAAGCATCTAAATGAGCCTATCTCACAACATAAATCGCTTTGTGAACATGACTACAGTAATTGCCATCCAGTTATCTCTAATCACTACATATCCTCATCCTCATGTCCAACCTCTCAAACCAAAGCTAATCTCCCCCTGAGATCAGCTGTATAGCTCACATCGCTCAAATCACAGACATTACAGACTAAGTAGCTGGATAAATGTAACAACAAATGCACCAGTATACATATACAATTACAACCGCTGACTCGCAGACTCCATCTTGATTATTGCGGAATACCTGGGAGCTGTCCTTGACTTCTCTCGCCTTTTTTTGCAGAGACAGAGAAGTGCCGCTTTGGAACACACACACTTTTTTGCGGTCCGGAAGCCGACCCCTAGTAGCTATATAGACATCCAGGGTATCAAATGAAAGGTCTGCTCAATCCGGTTCAGTTGCATTATAATCTAGTCGATGATGGTTTGATGGTTTATTGTATTAAAAGAAAAAAATGCTTTTTACCAGGCAAGGATAAAAATATACTTTTCTTCATTGCATTTAGTCTGTAATGGTAAAATAAATGTTAATTTCAATAGATTTATATTCCTTAGAGTCTGACCTTTCAAAGGAGACCAGAATTATGCATCTAGGAGTTATTCCTGATTAATATTAGGTATGTTATTTTAGGTGTTTTTCCTGGAAAAAGGTGGCAGTTACCAACAGGTTTTAAAGCATAGGGACGCTTTATAGGTATAGGTATACTTTGGAATGGCTTTTGTCAAAAGGAATAGTTGTCATACCTCCTGTATAATTTGTTTGCGTTCAGTAACAATAATTCAGAGTCTCAGCCTCAGTATTAATGGATCTCAGTGTAGTTGGTGCCAAGTCTGACAATGCTCGAACTACTGAGTTAGTAATTGTAACACAAAAACAAAACAAACAAGCATTTGTTTAAAAGTAATGTTTATTTTGCACCAACCAAAAAAAATCTTGGTGCAAAAGATACCTTCCCATTTACGACATCAGTGACAGTGCATCTCAGTAAAATAGTAATGCTCAAAAAAAGAAAGAAAAACATCATTTGCTAGAAGAAAAGATTTATCAACACCAATAAAAGCACAGTTTAAGTAAAAACTCCAATGTTCCAACACAAACAACCAGTTATCTTTAAACTGACAAGGGCGGCAACAACAACAAGAAAATAATACAGTAACTTAATAATGCTTCATCTGGTGGAGAAATACCAGTACAACCAACCTCCCAGTACACTCATGCCCTCACACAGCCACGCATGCACCCACACACGCAGTTCTGGTACACAACAGGAGCCAATTTAATAATCAATCCCATTACCACAGCATTAAAATCAATTATATGTAATAAATATCAGTAAAAGCACCTTTAAAGCTGAAATGTGTTTAATTGATCAACTGACTGTGCAACAAGTAAAAAAAAAACAACATAAAAAAAAAAATGTATAATTCCATCAGGAGACTAATTTACCATAAAAACAGTTGTGGAAATTTAAATCATTACATACATTGGTTTTTTTTTGTTTGTTTGTTTTAAATCATGGATGAGTATATACACAACAGATCTCACAGGATGGTCAATCCATAACCATATTAAAGTCATTATTAAGTGTTGCATTCTGTAAAATAATTTTCATTCCAAAGCCATAAATTGTTTAAAACTACATCTGTAAAAAGACATGTCTGGGCCTGAACCTCAGCCCAGGTGACAACCAGCTGAGATAATAGGAACAATATTTCAACGTATGAAATCAGATTGTGTTTGTAATAGCCACATATGGCTTGGATCTTAAAGGGCAATAGAAAACTAATACCCTTTTAAAATTCGCAAGCCCAAAGTGGTACACAAAAAAAATCACCAAAATAGATTTTGCTCCAGTCTACGTGCAAACACTCAAGCTGCACGTGGTAGCATAAAAACATTCTGGGTGACGTTTCCTTAGTGAGTCCAAGATACCAAAACATAGAAAAGCTTCTTACAGTTCACCATCACAACAGATTAGCATGCTAGAGATTTTCAGAGCGCCACAATAATGCAAGTAATTTACAGCAATGGTAAGAAACATCTTCGATCAAGACGCGCACTCTGTGTTGTGTTCAATGGGATCTGTAGACTTGGTAGTGTGTAGAGTAATCAGTGCCCTTAGGACTGACACATAAAACAGCACACATCCAATGGAGAAGATATCTACTACAGCATTGTTCATCAGCTGCAATCTCAAAGCATTTCTGCACTCAGTACTTCCAGCAATTAGCTCTTCTTGCCCATTTGATTTTACATTCTCTCCAAATAGTGCAAACAGATAGATTTCTGTCAACCTAAATGCAAAACATTTCATGTCATCTTTAAAGAGCAGAGTCCCTACATTTGGCACAGCACTTACGGCCAAACCTTTGCTGTTTTTTCATCATTGTAAGTGTGGCAAAGTTAAAAATAACTCCGTACAATGAAAGGATTAATCCTGCTAATTCCTGGAAGGACTAATCACCCATTATGTGCAAATATGTGTGTATTCTCAACGGCTCAATCGATATATCCACTGCTTTGCTGTATATATATGGCTTCTGCTCATTTATGGCTCCTTTTTCCCTTTATCCCTATATAGCCAGGCACTGATTCTTACCCACAGCGAAAGTAGGTAAATGTCTCATTTTCATCTTTAAGTGTGTCATATCACCACATTATGGTGCGCAAATACTGATTAAGTATAATTTCTTCTCAAGGCCACAGATTTCTGTACATCTTAAAGATGCCAATCTAGACCTCTACCATCCTCTTTTCCATCCACTCAAGGAAAATAAGTGTTTGGTTTGAGGAGAATACGGCATGATGAATGAAGCTGCTTTCGGGTTAAAAGTGGAATTCTTAAAACTAACTTAAACCAGTCTTTTGGTTTGTATGTTTTTTTGGAATTGGGTGACCCTATCACCAGAAGACGACATGGTGTCGCCAGTATGAGCACATATTACTTCATTTTCCTGCTGTCTTCTCCCCTGCCATTCAGGCTAGCTCTGCTTTGGGGTCACAGTTTGCTTTGGCTGTGCTTTGGATGCTGCTGCAGAGGCAGAGGAGGAGGAAGTAGAAGAGGAGGAGGAGGAAGAGGATGAACTCCATCGGGTCTCTACACCTGTACTTGTCATCTTCAGCTTTCGCCGTTTTGCAAGGGGAGCGTTGTCGACACTTTTCAGAAAGAAGCCCTCTCTCTTACCACGGTTGAAAGCCTGATGAGAGAGGAAAATGACCAGAGAAAAAGTAAGATGCATGCACCTAACATCTATCATAAGAGCCTTGAGACAGTAAGTATGCAATGCTATTACCTTGTAAGTGGCATTGACATAGGTACGGACAGTAGGCCCACTAGACTCTAGCACATCTGGAGTGCACAAAGGAGTGGTGGACATTGATGCTCCGCCCTGCAGCCAGCTGTTCTCTTTCAGATCGGAGAGTTTCAGACGACTCTCTGGATCCACTGTCAGTAGGCCTTAAGTCATAGCGAGAGGGGTTAAAACAGACAAAAACACACAGAGATGAGAGAACAAGATATAAGGGATCAGGCGCTGAGCTGATGGCTCACTGCAGAAGGAGTTAGTACCTCTAGTGGCCCTTATATGGTGGGCACTTCTTTCACACTCCTGTTACGAAAAAATGAGGAGAAGAAATACAGCAAACAAGCTGTGAGCTGCTTTCACACCTGCGATTGGGTCAATTTGGTGCAGACCAGGGGGAAAACATTATACATAGTTGCATTTCAACCAAGAGGAGTAAAGTAAAGTTACACAGACTGACAGGTAACTCGTTGATTGGACAGTTTTGGCATCCTGCATCATCAGCACATCATCAGGACCCCCATGGGGAAATCAAATGCCAGTGACTGAAGTTTATGCAGCACTTTAATGCTTCTGATGTGTATATTTATGTTCTTCGGTGTCACAAAGACCTCACGAAGAAATAACTGATTACATGCATTAATACCGCATGTCATGAATAATAGCGCAGAGACAGGACGAAGAGGAGGTGTCTTGACCAGTAATGATTCAGGGCTTATTACTGTGGGATCGCTGTCACACACTTTGTCAGTTCATTAAGTCTATTAAAAAGTACACGTAGTACAAGCACAGCATTTTTAACAGCTTTTGACCTATTAATCAGGAAAAATACATGCATACACGCTGACATGCATACATGGTTACCAAATGATTTGCATACATATATACATAGCTTATACAGATCAATTATGAGATCGCTTCATGAATAGATTTCACAAATCTGCAATAATAAATAAACCTGTGGTTGGTTCATTTGTTTTCACATCACAAGCGACTTGCACTAGAGTCGGCAGTCTCGCTGCGGTGGTTTTGTCCACACCAGAGTTTGATTGACAGCTTTTACATCTGCACAAACTAACTGCACTAACCTGGCAAATGCACCAGTCTTCCTTTTTTGCCACAATCAAGACACACAAGCAAACTTTATTCAAAATATTCAACAATTCTCTGACTGCTAAATGACAACTCCTAAAAACACTGGGCACTCCCTAAACCATCTCCCATCACATTCCCCAACAGGTCAGTAAAAACTCACTATATCACATACCTTTAACAAGCTCTTTGGCATCCTCTGATACGCCCTTCCAGGCCTCCCCTTCCAATGAGAAATCGCCCTCTTTTATCTTTTGCATGATGTCAGCGGCATGTAATGAGGTCATCCCACGCTGCTCACTCTGAAATGGCACCTGGCCTGACAGCATGGTGTACTGATGAAAATGCACATAGAGAGTCATAAGTACTTCAGTTAGCCTTACTGATGAGACAGAATGGTTTTAGGTAAAATTACCAGAATGACTCCAAGACTCCAGAGGTCACAGGCTTTGTCGTATCCCGCACTCTCAAAAAGTTCAGGTGCAGCATACTGCAGCGTGAAGCAGGGAGTCTGCAGGGGGCGCTGCCTGCAGGGCACAGGCGGGCAAATCCAAAATCTATTACTTTCAGCACCGAGTCCTCGCCTTCATCTGAAAACAGCACGTTCTGTAAGGTAAACAAATAAAACCCATGATCATCCTCTCTTATTTCATAGCTCCATTTTCCTGACAGAGCAAAGACTACTAAATACTACTAGTACTACTACTACTAAATAATACAAGTTGGCATGTTCCTAACCTTGCTGTGCGTGTGGCATTTTGTGACCTTTGAAGAACATGTGGTGCAAAGGGGGGAGTAGAGGGCAAACAGATGGGAGTTTCATTCAAATGAAGCACCATAAAAAGAGGTATTTCCATATCACTCATCTGACCATGATACATAATTGGGGGATTCTGTCAAAAAGCACAATCTCAGTACTTAAGAATAAGGTGCAGAAATTGTGGAATAATGTAGATAAATACTCTCCAACAAGTAAATGCATTTAGATTGGCAATCAAAAATAAAAGTTTATGCATTACAACAGGCATCTCAGTAAAACATTATGCAGAACTAAAAGTGAATGGGTAAGTCTTACCACTATCTGTCATTCACAGCTGCCATACACTATATGAAAGCCTTCTCCTTCAGTTAATTAAATCCAACAGTCATCTGAAGACAGTCGGATATGTGTGAAAAAATCTGCAGCCTTCATTTTGAAAAGAGTTGCACTGCAGCACAGAAGCATTATGCACTGTTGTCCACTGTGTTTGTCTTGATAATGTCATGTAGGATAATGCTGTAAAATAACCACACTAACATCTCCACATATGAAACTGGTCAGTTATAACGCTGTATTCAGCCAGTTAATATGAGACATCCAAGATGCGCACAGAACACATGCAGTTCACAGTGATAAAATACTGATAATTCAAATTTCACTGTTGTTTGGGCCAATAATTACACATGCCAAGGCTTCCTTTCTAACTTCTCTGGCAATTTCTAATTACTGAAATATATTTTAAACTTTAATATGATTTGATACAGTAGAATTATGGCTGTAATAACGTTGAACAGGTGTTTTCATATGAACAGGATCACATATTACTAGTCGTCTTGTATGTTTGTTTTTTTTAAGAGAGACCAGGAGTGAATCAAGTCATCAAAGCTAAGCCCACCTCTGGTTTGAGGTCTCTGTGCACGACTCCGGCCTCGTGCATGAAGCTGACAGCTGAGACCAGGCTCTGTAACAGCTGACTGGCCTCTGCCTCGCCAAAGAGTTTCTTCCTCTTGATCCTTTCCAGCAGCTCCCCACCTCGCAGTAGCTCCATCACTAAATATGTGTGGTACTGACAGAGAGGACGGTGTGCAAAGAGAAGAGTTTATGCCATGATTTGGTTGTTCCACACTGCTCAATATGTACATCCCTTAAAGTACATACAGTATATTCACTATTTGTTGTGTTAATGTTACGCCACTAATTGTACATGTTTCCTCCACTGTACCTGATCAGTATAGACTTCATGCAGTTTGACAATGTTTGGGTGAGCCTCACATTGCCTCAAAGCAGCAATCTCCCTCTGGGTGTTTGCCTCCATTCTAACACAAAATAATCATTCAGTGATCAACAAGGACATTCTGAGACTCCTATCATCAGATGGTACTGTGAAACTGTAAAGCATAGTTAGGCACACAAACTCAAAGCTTTTACTTAGACGTTGTTGTAGCATCACATCTCTACTCACCTGCGGCTGACGATCTTGACAGCGTATTCGTGGTCAGTTTGCTTGTGTCTGCATTTCCTGCACACAGAGAAACTACCCTCACCTAGGGGCGGCCCAAGAAGACACAGCTCATAGTGCTGAAAAAACTGGGATTCCTGAAGAAAAAAAAAAAGGGACATATGAGTCACATTGAGCTGTTAAGGGATATTCTTTATCATCTATCAGTGTATACATACATATATAACGAGTTGTGATACACATGCTGTTAAATAACTAATACAAAGACATGACTAGGACAGATTTCTCTGATTTCTGCATTTTTTGGGAATACCAGCTAAAAACAATGCAGCTTTACAGCATGCAGTCTAATGTGGAAAAACATCAACTGGACAAGCTGACCTATTTCCTATTCCTAAACAGATACTATAATACTGTATAATGCTATCAGAACAAAGTTTCCTGATAATTGTGATATTTCTTCAATATTGCCAAGCCCTTGATAAAATATGACAGAACATGCAGTGAGGTAAGGTGAGCTAACTTTGGTTAATAAACTAGGCTAAATGAACTAGTTTGTCTTCCTTCCTCTGTCCTAATTAACTAACGCTGCAGAGCCTTTTTTAGATGCTTTGTACATCTGTCTAGATTACAGAGTGGCTTCCAATGAAGACATGTTGGTTTTGCAAAACTGCCTCTCTACCATAAAGTAAAGAACAACGAGAACAACAACTAATGCCCAGATCACTTTAAACCTTAACCAGAAATTACTTTGTAAACCAAGGTCGGCTGGTTCAAGATCCGTACCTCTAACATTGCACTGCGCTGGACAGAGGCTGAACCTGGTCGATCAGCACGGACCTGGGATTCCACAAAGTCTCCCATGACTGCATTTTTATTAAACAGGATGGAGGGAGCAATAAAGGAGTAACCCTAAAACAAGAGAGAAGTAATGTTAGGTGGTGTGGTACGAGAGAGAAACGCATAACTGTATTAATAGAAAATTAATCTTGTACCATAATCTTATTTAATATTAGGCTAAATATTAAATTTGTCAGAATGTTATTATTTTCAGATGGTGGTTATAGGTATTTTATTTTGGAAGTCCAGCTTTTTTTTTTTTTTTTTTTTTTTTTTTTTTTTTTTTAAAAGGGGCAGGGTTGAGGCAGCAAGACTAACCTGAAACAGGCGGTCAGTGCTTGGAGGTGTGCTCGCTGGAGAGTAGACGGGATCCATCCCAGTGAACTCCTCAGCAAAGTTCCCTACGTCAAGTTCATTCTTCAGCTCTGGCTTGAATGGACTTGCCACTTTCTTCTGTGCTAGGTCAGCCCAATTCAGTCCCTGTAAGGAAACAAAAAGCAGATGGGAAGAGTTATGGCTGAAGAGGTGATGGGGAAAAGACATTTGTGAGTGACTGGTATTTGAGTTAAGTAGGACCTTGAAGAAGGAATGTGCTTTGATGTCTTCAGCCCCTCGAGGTCCAGAACCCAGCCTCTTGTGCGGATCTTTCACCAACAACTTCCTCAGCAGGTCCTGAGCAGTGGGTCCAATCATAGAGGGGAACGGAGGATCACAGCGCAAAATACGTCTGACAGAGGAGGGGTGAAAAAAAAAAAAAGCCCATTTCGTTAACATAGTAACCTCATCCGATACTGCAGCCCTATTCAATTGGTGGCCCACACGCCACATCCAGCCCCGAAGCAACCTCCATGTGGCCCCGCACATAATCTAATATATATGACAACAAAATTAAACTACGTGTATAGTGAATGGAAGTAGCTAAAGAGTGAGCTATATCGTTTCCTTCTCATCTTTCTTGAGTTTCACATGTGCTGTACCGATCACCACCAATCAAGGCTCAACTAACCGACCTGCAGCCTCTCCGCTCCTCTGTGTGTCTGTAGAGCGCCTCCACACACACACACACACACACACACACCAAAGTCAGCCAGCTGATTAGTGGACATTACAGACGTTGACTGCAACTACGCTTGTTAAGTAGGCTACGTGGGTAATAAAAACTTTGCGAGTAAAAAGCCAATACTTTACCAACACACCTGTTTAGCATAAATCCACAAAACGCAATGTTTTAATCTGCTCAGTCTCTCATTCACTATAGGTGTGTTTTTGTTTTACACAGGCACAGCGCTAGTTTGGCTAAGCTTATTGTTAAAAATAAGCTAAAGTGAAAGCTGTCTGTCTTTTGTAACTGTTCAGCTTAGTTTGCCAGTACATTAAAATATAGCACATTACAAACTCAGCTCGTGGCTGAGACCAACCAGCCCGTCTCTCAACCAGCAGCAGCAGAGGAGGACAGAAGGGACCGAGTTGATTCTTTCTAAACTTCACTCAGTATGTTGTTGTCAGGAATATGATTTATTTTACTGACATGTTAGATTTGTTTCCAGTGAGATATTAGTGACTTTGCTGTTGTAAATCCTGTTGCTGCTCTAGAAACAACATTTAGTTTAAAAAAAAAATTAGATTATTTTTTCAAATAATATATGCGGTTATTTAGTAATAAACAGGACTGATAAGAGCATCAAGATAAACTGAACCAATAAGGATTACCAATACAAGTGACAAAAAATCTTAATGATACCCATCCCAACTCATGAGAAAATGTCCGGCCCATCTCAGTGTCCTGGATTTAAAATCCAACCCAATAGAATTTGTAATTGAATAGCCCTGAGATACTGTATGACAAAATCCTAGAGCAGCTTTAAGATTTCCACTAGGGTTGGGTCAATGTAAAAGTTATCAAACCGGTTTGAAATGATGCCAAATACAGGAGCAGACACACCAAATTTTACCACTAGGTGTTGCGCGTGACTCCTGATTAACATAATGAGAGCCCATGAATGATGAATTTTCTACAACACATTCCTGCAAATGTTTTAACAATAAAAGTCTTGTTAAGAAATAAAATGTTTCTGTACATTGAAGGCTTTCAATTTGAAATGGATACAAAAGTGTCGAGTTTGCTTTAACAACGTAATGCAGTTATTTTAACAGGGCAAACAGGGCTTCAATCTGCTACGATACTGACCGGATTGACAAGCTATAGCTGGCTAGCTCCCTCGCTAACAAAGCAAAGAAATGTGATAAGCATGAGTGACATGATGGTTTTAAGGGACAGAGTTATTTTAGAATTAAAGTAATAAGGAGAAATGATGCGGTCAATGTTTATTAACTTTCCAGCAATTTTATAGCTAGTTAGCAACTTTGAGTGAAGACACCGCTTGACTCCGCACCACTGTCATTGTAATGTGTCTGTATTTAATGCTGTACTTTGCTACTGTGTTTTTGAGTCACTGTCTCCTGTGATGACTTTTATTACGGGTTGACATCGCTGAGAGCTGCTTTTTCTCTCTTTTTTTATTGGGCAGAAAGTCTCATAATGACAAATGCCGGTTCATTTAGTTCACATAAAATCAATAAACCAGACCTCCAACACAATTGCTGAGATAACTTTTATGACTTGAGAATATGGAAGGTTGGTTTAAGGTCTGAACACATGTTTAATGGAGATAAAGTCAGCTTCACTCACTTTGACACCTCACTCTGGGAGTTCCTCTCTCCCTCCAAGGTAAAAGGAGATGCTCCCGTTAGAAGCTCAAACATGAGGATCCCAAGGCTCCACCAATCTACAGACTGAAGGAGAAGACACTTCAAAGAAGGTGAACAAAATATGACAAGATAAGGCCCCCATTGTGTATTAAGTTAGTGGACTGTGGGTTGTCTGTCTTGATACTGACCAAAAATGTCAATCTTATCTTTGATCTGGCGTATAGCACATCATCCCATACAGTGTTCAAAGTGGATTTTATTTATAGACACATGCTCTGCAAAGGCCCCAGTTACCCAAAGTCATGAGACATCCATTTAGTCTTTAACTGCAATTTAATTATCAACAGCTAAATGTTCAAGTCACAGTGGATCTCAGAAACATCTGAATGTAAAAAATGGATAATATGAACAATTACTATACATGTGTGAGCACTTAAAATCTTTACCAAAATGAAATGAATACTAAACATCTGTACTTCCTGTGTTACTGTCATATATTTACCTTGCCATGCCCGGCTTTCCCCCTGATGATTTCAGGGGCCATGTACTCAATGGTGCCACAGAAAGAGTAAGTTCTTTCCTTCTGTAATGAGGAGAAGGGGAAAATAAAGTATAACCGTTAATTGAGATAACAGATAACACACATTGCACATATCACTGTCGACATGCACACACACACTCCTATGTTTAGATTTTGGTATCGTGTTTACATACCTCTTCTTCCAGAAACTCCTTGCTGAGCCCAAAATCAGTCAATACCACATGGCCTTCACTGTCAAGAAGAATGTTTTCCAATTTGATGTCTCGGTACACAATCCCAAGCTGGACAAAAACGCAGTGAAAACTTACAAGTTACATTCACAGAAAACGCAGTTCATTTGTGAGCAGAGATGGCATGCATTACACACAGAAGATCGTAATAAAGACTTTTATGAGCAAAGAAGACAAACATTACCTATTATCTACTGGTAATTTTCAGTAATCGCAGCATTTTCAAAACCCCATTCAGTAGTTCTATTCTTCTAAAGTTCTGATCCTTAAATCTGTCTGCCCAAACTGAAGCACAACCATTAATTGCAACAATACCTCAATACAAATGACAATATAAGTCACCAAGATGGCTTTATTTGATGCTATCCAAAGGAACAACTCATAGAAATCAACATTATGGTTTTCAGCCAATTTGGATTCTTAGTGCAATTGGTGATTTTCAAGAATCTACCGTCTCAAAAAAAAAAAAAATTTAAATGCTACACTGTGAATCTAGTTTAACCTGCCAAAGGCCACAAACTACTGCTAATTAATAAAAACATCCAGAATGTACTCATAAAACAACCTTGAAAATGCACTCTTTCCATACAGTGGTTTGTGCACATCCTTTTAAAAGACACATATATATTTTAATGCCACAGTTGCTTCTCTGGTATTAGAGTGTTTCAGGCAGTAAAGTAAGAGTCCAGAGGGGACTTCCTGCCCAACCTAATGACTAGTTAGTGACTATCTGGTGAAAAAAGTCAATCATTTATTCAACCAAAAAGTTGCTGGTGATTTGGGGGATAATATTGCTCTGTGTCTGCTATATTAGTGTAATTAGGCAACTGCTTACGAACACATCAGTCATAACAATATACAAGGTGATCAGTTGGTGCAGTGTCTCTATAAGACTGCTCTGTCTTTCTTCTGCCTCTCAGTATCTGAAAATCAATAAATGTAGCTTTTAAGGTATATAGCTGGAAGGAGGGACGCCCACCTTGTGCAGGTGCTCCAGAGCCAGGATTATTTCCCCAATATAAATCCGCACTGCCTCCTCAGGAAAGTGATCCCGCTGGTACAAATGAGTGAACATCTCCCCGCCACTCACATAATCTGTACTCACACACACAGACAAATACACAGGCAGCATGAATACACATGATACGGAAATTACACTAACACATATTATGCACAAAATGCCAACAAACTGTACAGTAATAGACAGAAAACGTAAAGAGAACATCTATTCAGCCCTTCAAAAAAGAAGAGAGAGGAGTTACGCAGAGTCACGTGTTTGGTTATAGTGTCCAGTTACTCACCGAGGATGAGGTGCAGTTTGCTCTGCGTCTGAAAGGCATAGTGGAGTGTGACCAGGAAGGGGGACTGGCGGATGTGCTCCAGCACCTGCCTCTCAGTGCGAGTATGTTCTGTTGTCTTTGCCTTTTGAACAATAGCTGCTTTCTTTAACACCTAGGGTAGTAATCACAATAAACTGAACTTAAATTTTGACTAATGATTTTAGTCAAAATTTGGGTGTTAAGTCAACACCTGGAAAATCTAGACATCCTGTATAGAATTCATTTTAAAGGCCAGACAAAGTAAAACAGCTAAAAAAGTACCAAATATTATCTGCCTGAGAAAATTCACTTCACTTTCAGTATATAGCAACTCAACTTTCACTTTGTGGCATCTCGTCATGTGCTGTGCAAGCATTATAAATTTATGTGGAATAAAAGAAAAATCAGTGAATTATTCAAAAAACACTTAAGAAGGTTTCCCATCTTGAATTTAAAACATAGCATAACATAAGTGATTTATTGTTTTATCTATGAAACTGTTTTGTGATCACATTTAGTAACAATATTGTTAGAGTAAGAGTCTCACCTTCATAGCATAAAGCTGGCCTGCATCGTGACCAGTGTTCTTCCTGACCAAAAACACTTTCCCATAAGCTAGACAAAGACAAACAAATTGTTCATCCATTTGATCAAATTATTTCTAGTACGCAAGTGAAACTGAACTGCAATATACGCAAAAACATTACTGCACACCAAAATTAATCCGGTGTTGTTTTGTTGACAGAGCCAGCCTCTCAGATCTCTCAAAAGTATTCATTATTCATAAGATCTAATAACAGAGACATCTAACAGCATATGGTCTTACTCTTAACATTCAGACACTACTCATGCCGTTTTGATGGTTTGCAACTTCCAAATCAGGATATAAATGTAAAAAAATTATTTACCACTGCATTTAGGTCCTCAGAGACCCTTTCTCTTACAAGCTATGAAAATTAATTATATACATTTTGCCCTTAAGATATTTAACCATGACAGGAAAATATATGTGTCAACAGGTTTTTCTTCAGGTTTAACAACTGTATCTGTATTTCATATACTTCGTGCTTCACAAAAGACACTTACCTCCAGTGCCCAAGACTTTGAGCAGCTCAAAGTTCTCCATGCCGACCCTCTCGGTGTGACCTGTGAGGTTAGCTAGCGGCAGAAAGAAAATGCCACAATTAGAACATACAGTAGAATATGTTCAATTTCTGTGCCCTGCAAACACAAACATTTGTTTTTTTAAAAGACTAGGTGGCCACATTTTAAAAATACTAGTTACTAATATTAGTATCTCTTAAATATGCTGAAAGAGCTATCGAACTTTTATCAGACGATGATGAACTGTAAGTTAGACTTTCAGCAGTGAAAAGCATTCATTTATACTATTATATATTCAGTTATCTATCAATATTCAATATTTAGCTGATAGTTTATTACAACTTCAGAGAATGCTGCCTACTGAACTGCTCTCAATAGATTAAAAGGTTGTTGAACTTCAATCAATATACCCTAATCAATGACAAAGTAACACCAATTTTTCCTGTAACTTCTGCTGATGAAAAACATGCACAGACAACACAGAGTATGGCATGACCAGATGAGCAACTAACCTGAAATGTGCAACTTACTGAAGAAGGATATCGCAACTGCTTTATGTGGTTCTGTGTGGATTTTCTATGTAGATGTACAGACACTACTCAAAAAATGAAGGGAACACTTTAATCACACATCAGAGCTCGATGAAAGAAAGTTTAAAATCTTTACTGTATATTGTATTATTCGTTGAGAACAAAATGATGTGACAACGGTCAGGGGAAACCAAAATTATCAACCGACTAAGGGCTGGATTCAAAATCACACCAAAAATTATGTAAAACAAGTGAAATCACAGGCAAACCTAACTTGCATGACTTTCATCACAGCAACTCATAATGCCACTCAGTAGTGTGTATGTCCCCCACATGCCTGTATGCACTCCCAGCTATGTCTGGGCATGCTCCTGAATAGACGATGGATGGTGTCCAAGGTGCCATCCTTACAAAACACAATTTCACTCTAGAACTTGTTATATTGTGACAATAAACCTACCTACCTACCTACATGCATGGGCAGCAGGTACCGCTTGAGGCTACCAGTAGTGAATGGACACTAGCAAAACACAAAACTAGCCAACAGTCAGTCAGGAAAGCTAAGGAGAGAGCAACTGTTTGTGGCCACCACCTGGAAAACCATTTTCTTGCTTTTGCCTCTCCAGTGCACCTGTTGTCACTTTTCTTTGCACCAAAGCAAGAGACACTGATTCCCAATTGCTTATGCTTCATAACTGGAGAGATTGATACCACTTAAGTTTAATTGATTTTATGTTATACTGTGATGATTAAGTGTTCCCTTTAATTTCAAAGCAGTGTACATTATATTATAGGATACAGTGTCCATAAACATACTATAAGGTAACAATAGGTCTTCTTCACCTTGGTCCTGAGTCCAAAGTGATCCAAATTAATTAAGCGTAAACACAGCAACAAACTGACACAAACAGAGTCAAGAGTCCTTTCTGAAGGCAGTGCACCTATTTACTGTTAACATGCTCCTCAGGTTTGACAAAGCTTGGCACACAAACTAGCTGAATTTTGACTGAATAAAATGGTTCATTTTGGTGTTGTGTTTCATTGCACCGCATCATCACAAAGAGAAGTGTTGCTAACATTTTCTATTTACATATGGAGAAGCAAGCGTAGCAGGGAACTGTTAGAAACACCTTACAACATAATGCAATTCAATATAATATTACCATAAACTGTAGCCTTATCACTTTTGGTCATTTTTAACTCTGCAGAATTGAAACCAACACCTGTCTGTCAAAGCTCCAACAATTAAAAATGTACGTTTCACAAATGTTGTATTAATTAAATGATGGAATTAATTAAAGTGTGAAGGAGAGTCTATTTATCATTTAATGCAGTTTACATAACTTGCTTTATTTCAGACGGTGTACTTGACTTACCATTGGTGATTTGATGCTTTACGGTACAGGCCTTTTCATTCGTTATGGCATCGGAGTCATCACTACTATCAGATGCGTTCCCAGGCATAATTTCAAGAAAGGTAAACTAAACCCTATACAGACTGTTTAAGATGAACTGGATAGTCAACTGTTTTAATATTTACAAGATGTTACACTTCACGTTCAGCAATTACGAAAATCTATTGTAACGTTAGCTGCATTATGAAGAACACAAGGATTATCGAAATGACCGGACAGCTGTGTTTTGTAGACAATAGTGCTGCACTAACGTTAATCCCCGTGCGTTTGACATCCTGGTGTTTCGCATTACTTATCTCCTGTGATTGGCCGAAATTAATCATAAAACACAGAAATGTAGCTATTCAGATTACAGGTTACTATGTGCTATTGGTTTTATTTACTACTAGCTATGAGAAAGATCCCCAGTAACGTTACTGATTTCGAGTTTTGCTAGTTGCAATGAAGTTTAAGTGGCTAACGTTAGCATTAGCTGCTTAACAGTAGTCATTATTAATAGCTAACGTTACTAAGTAATAACATTAACGCTAGTTTCACATAAACGACTGATGAAAATAACGCGTTATAAGTGAATGCGTTACGTTAATCGCCTACACCGTTAGCTAGCATAATTGCTACAATAACAAGCCATGTTACCTAGCTAGCTGGGATGGTAGAATTGCTGCTGTTGCCCGTCAAAGTTTGTACGTTAGCGAAGTGTTTAGTTAGCTAACGTTAACGTTATGTTATCTGGTCTTTTCAGATATCGGCTATCAGACCATGCTGGAAAGGCCAATTTGGGAAGTTCTTTATCTTCTTTTTCGCTATATTAATAATTCGCCCATTCTAAAAAATTCTCTCTTGACTTTATATTTATATTTTTTGTCAGCTGCTAGCTAACTGCTAACACCAGGATGCTTTCGACACAACCTGGGCGACGGTCAGTCACGTGAACTCTCGATGTGGGCGGAGCGACGGAGCTCGAGACCTCAATGAGAACCGGGAAGATTATATACTGATTCAATAATGGCAGTTGCTGTATTTTTTGGGAGAGATAAATAGGTGTACATTTTGTCTTACACTTGCATTGCTTTGATTTTGTTATAGGCCTTTGTGATGCTAAACATACATTCAACTCTGACATACCTCATGTTTACCCTATAGAGGGAGATTATTTCCAATTTATATACTAACATCTATTAACATTTGGCCTATAATATTTACATGTATGAGGAAGCTCTCCATTGTACTTTTTAATGGTGTGTGTACTGCAAAGTGACTAAGACCCTACTATAAAATGTAAGTTTGCTACTAACTGTTACACTGAGTCAATGTCACCACTGGTGGTCTTCTTGGACAAAAAAAAGCCACCATGGATCTTTAAAATACATTCAGATACTGTATATTTCAGAGTAAAACCGATTTCCATTATTACATTACACTTCTTGGACAGTTTCCTTTACATCATGTGAGAGTACCACGCTTGTTGCATGTAGTTTATGGTTACAACAGGACTTTGATGGTAAAAATGCCCACATCCCCAATTTCTGCTGTGGAAATGTAAAAACAAAAATGTGTCACAGTTAATATCTAATATATTTGAGTCGCTCTTAGAAACCACAGCAGAGATACTATGACAATGTGGTGACTTTGAGGTGTCTGAGGCTGCATGATGCATAATGGTCAGCAATATTAACACTCATGTATCCCTTCTGAAAACAGAAGCTAAGCAGTCTGCCGCTGTGGGAGGTTGGCACAATTTCGCAAAACACACATTAGGAAGTAGCGACAGGTAGCACTGAGGCTTCAGTACTCTAAGACAAGCTGACAAACATTTAAGACGCATCATGAAGTGAGAGAATTGCGAACCCTCAACAATTAGTTGCTTGCTTAGAAAGGTAAATCCACCCAAATCTGTCACATTATTCCCATTATCTTGAAATCTTGAAAAGTTGAAGTAACTTCAATTATTGACACAGCTCCAGTTTCCTGAACAAAGTTTAAACCAGACAATCATGACACTGTGCGAGGACTGTTGTGCCAGTTCAATTCCTGCTCACAGAGCAGTGTATTGTCCACGGAATTCTTGTTGGAACTGGCACAAGAGCTTTACCTCCAAGTTTTTTTGTTTTTTGCTAACACAGAAAAGCAATAACATGGGAGCCTTAATTGCTGTATGAACTTGTTTAATAAACCGTTAAGGATCCATCTTAAATCTTTTATTGGGGCAAAATATCCCTATCTTAAAGGCAATGAGTAATATCCATCAAGTCCCAGTTATAATTTGTCTACATCCATCCTCTCAAACACAATCAAGGAAACGCTCAACGCTTTCCTGATGTTAGCTGTACACAAATATCAACCTGTAAGAAAAAGACAGCAGGGCTGAAAAACAAAAAACAAAAATACCTGACATGCTTATAAGTGGCGAGAAGATTCAGCTTTCCACCTGACATGTGAGAAGACCAAAAGAAAGGAAACATGGAGGGACAACAAACTTCACGCCTCAATTTTAAAGCACCATGTTTAGTTAAGTTGTAAAGAGTTCAGAACAACGTCCAATGTTGACAATTTGTGATTTACATTCCAATCTTGATTTTTGAGTACAGAAATTGTTTTTTTTTTGTTTCATTTCCTTAAACCATGAATCAATAGGGATATGTGAACAGCCTCAAGGTGGATTTCCCCTTTCCCCTCCCTAAACTCTGAGCGTGCTGGTGCACTAAATTGTGCTGTTGACTTTAAGATGAATTTAAGCTTCTGTACACGACTGCAGTTTCCAAATGACGTTTTCTGGTGTCCTTAAGTTTTTCAAATGATATACAAGTTGCTTTCTTAAATACACTGTAAAGTTCTGTAACTTTTTTTTTAAAAAAACATAACGTACACACTAAGTCTCAGTGAGACTAAAGACAATATAATTTTGAATTTGAAGGCAAGAAAAGAGACGTGATATTTTGGAGGGATTTCCACATTGTTCCATTGTTGTCTTGGGAGTTTCTTCACACATCTGGATATTGGTTCTTATCAACGAATGGCTATCAGTCCAACATCAATGAGCTTCTGAATCTTCTGAGCAATTACTGGATTCTTTAAGTGGCTGAGGATCAAACAGAAAACAAATTGTCATTAACAATCATTAAATTCTGCATGCAAACAGAAAGTGACAAAAAAGTTGGCAAACTTACTCGCTAAGTGCCTGGGGGTCCTTTTGCATTTGCTCGAGGATCATGCGCATGGCTGGGTCACTCATAATCTGCTGCACCTCGGGATCAGCCATTGCCCTTTTCTTCACGTCTTCAGGACTGTCATTCCTTGTGGCGTGACTGACCATGCAGCGCTGCAGGCCTTCTGTGGCTTCCTGAATGTGGAAAAGACAAATGATGAAAAACAGCCGCTTAATTTCATTATTACCTGGAAAAGAGAGATGAGACTTTATACGCCATCAACACAGAATATTTCAAATGTCATGCAATGTCAAACTTCTTGATTTGTTTATAGATTTTGGTGTTCGGTATTGACTCAGATTGTACTTTGATGGTCATCTTACCCCTACAGATATACACAGCTACTTGGATTTAACTACCATGTTACCTGTTTTCAGAAAGGTGACAGATTATTGAACCTATTACTACAAGAAAGAACAAGAACTACTTTTTACATTACTTGGGTATCAAGTAAAAGTAAAGTAAATTAAAGCTGCATGCAGGGTTGGACTGGCCCTAGCACCGAGACGCACATTGGAGCTTGTTGCGGCTGTTGTGCAGTTGCTGGAGGTCGTCAACAAAACTCTGAATTATCACACGTTTTGGACGCCTCATGAAAGAGTTGAACGTGATGATTGTAACAGAGGTTACTTCCTGTTGCAAATATGGCACTATGACACTGCGTCAATATTGGCATGTCAATGTGTTCAGGATGTGACTCTTGTGTAATTTGGTACAGATATGAGCATGTACAGCGAAGTAAGAACAACTTCCTGTTTTGTGGTAAATCACTGATTTGACGCCACACCAAAGACACATTTTGACAGAAACTCATAGATAGCACAGCTTTTACTATTAAATTCAAAATGGTCGACTTTCTGTTGGGTTTATGGTATGGCTCCAAGAGGCTTTTCTGTGTATCCTGGGATGATACACGTAGGGCTGTACATAATGATCATTTTACAAATCGATTAATCTAACAATTATTTTTTCGATTAGTTGATTAATCTAACGACTAATTTTGTGTATTTTAAAGAAAGAAATGTTGCCCATTACTTGATTAACATACCAATTTATCCAAAATGAATATCAAAAACATGTCTAATCAATAAATCAGTGACATTAGTAGCATATCTTAAAATAAATCCAATTTCCACGTCACTGATGTGTTGTGATAACAACAACAGACATTAATTAGGCTACTTTACTTAAAACTAATTATTGGACTGACATGGATTTATTTCAATATTGAGTAATGCAGTATGATAGTCAAATGTATTTCTGCATCATTGTGGGGCAAAGAAAACAACTGAAACGATTCACAGACTGTGCAGTCACAGATTGTAGTGTTAGATTCAGCTGTTTTCTCGCCCATATGTGGCCGTTAAATAGAAAATATGAAACAGCCGAACGTTAGATGACATACAGTGTAACGTTACGTTACCATGACAGCAGAGGGGCAGAAATTACTTTTAACATGAACGCAATGAAGAAATACTTAAAATAAAATACATTTTAACGAACTACCTGTCCTCATGCTCATAATGTGACATGCTTGAGTGGAGACAGAAAAATGTGTAGTATACCTTTGAGGATGAGTCAAGCTCCAGAGCCTTCTGGTACACATCCATGGCTTTTGAATAATCTTTCATGGCCTCCAAGGCAGCTCCTTTACGCGTGTAGCCTTTTACTGTGGACAGATGCGTTTAAATTAGGTGTTAAACAGAATGTAAACTTTAATAGTTAAGGAGTATAAAACACTACTTAAAGTTCTTCAATTGAAATGTTAAATTGTAATAAATACAAAGCTGCCAACTCACTGAAGGTGGGCTCAAGTTTGATGCACTCCTCACAATCCTGACAAATAAAAAAGATCATGAGTTAATTTTGCAATAAAATAAAGAGGTTAGAATCTCATTAACTGACTCACAAAGACGCATGCTAAGGATGCGACGTACCTTCAGGGCAAGTTGAAACTCCAACAGCTTTGTGTAGCAGGCAGCTCTGTTACTGAAGAGTTTAGCGTCACTGGGGTTTCTCTTGATGGCCTCACTGTAATGTTTCATGGCTAAGGGGTAGTCTCCTGTGGGAAGGAAAAGAGGTGTTCGTCTCACATAAGTTCTTAAAAAGAAGAGTCAAGTGACCATGATCAACCAACACGCGCTACAACTATTTCACACACACACACACACACCTTTCTGGAAGGCGTCGTTGCCCTTGTTCTTCTCTTCCAGGGCTAATTCGGGGTTGATGTAGGCCATTTTCTCCTGCTCCTTCAATATCTTCTCTGCCTGCAGGACAGTATAAGGGTGTAAGTTAAGTGCCCACTTATGTTTACATTCCCTGTCCACATACAGGTCTGACTACTTGAAATCTACTTAAAACTTTATAAGTCTGCCTAGTTCCATTCAGAAGGAAACTAGGAAATCAGCATTCACTGCACCTGTTGACACTTCTTCAAGACGTCAGGAGTGCGATGCTCCGTCAAACTCTTATTGAAATACTGAACTGCTTCTTTGTATTTCTCCTGCTTGAAGTACGAGTTGCCAATCCTAGCCAAGGCCCTATAATAAAAAGAGAAGGACGTGGCACATGAAGAAAAACACGTTATTACATCAGAATGTAATGATTTGACATCAATCCAACTTCATCACTACATCATCTTTGGCCGGTTTGTAGTGGCATCATAGAGCAAGACTGCCACCCAATGGTTCTTTTATAATACAATTTCTCTTATCAAGTGTTGGTGAGCTGCATGTTGTTTCTCATCCAGATTAAATACATTCTGAGAAAAGAAAACAAAAAAGACAAACTTCTTATAGAACTCACTTTGCAATTTGTCTGTAATCTTCCCGGTTCTCTCTGCCAACATCAATGGCCTTCTCACACAGCTCTCGGCACTTCTCAAATTCTCCCTTCTCAAAGTACACAGCTGGAGGTATAATACAAAACGAGTATACTTAACATTTCAATTAAAAGTTATAATCATGTACATTTTTAATTCCAGTTGAAATGAGCTGAACTGGTGTCAATAAAAGGAATTTGTTGGGTCAATATTTTGGTACATTTCATATTCCGGAGCGATTCAGTCAGTGGCCTACCAAGCCCACATCAATAATGTAACAACGTTTGTATTTAAAGGATGTGAAACCCTGAGGAGTCTGGTTAGAGAAGAGATTTTTTCCATCCAAGAATTTTTCCTTGTTGGACAACAACATTATTTCTATATATGAGAAATTCTGAATTATATGTATACATAATATTAGTCAATTGGCTCAAATGTATGAGGCTGGTATTTGTTTACCAACTTGTGAGAATAAGTACCTGCTTGGTTAGATATGTAAGTCATGTTGGTGGGGTCATGTTTGACTGCTTCTTCATAATGTTTCAGCGCCTTTTCAAAGTCCTTATTCTTATAGGCAGCATTCCCAAGTTCTTTTTCCTTCAATGCCTGTTAAAAATGAAAATTTGTAAATCTTAAAAAAAAAAAAAATGATTGAAATCTCATTAACAGTGGAAAGTATAATGAACTGATTTACATTTCTCTTGTTTTCAGGAAGGTCTTCCTCTTTGGGAGGAGGTGGCTTAGTGTCTTTGGGTTTGGGTGGAGGAGGAGGAGTGGGCTCCTCTTCTTCTTCCATCTCAGAGAGGTTCAGTCCCAGCAGCACAGAGAGTGTAGTCATCACTCTGGGATCCTGCAGCTTTCTGCAAAACAGTCAGGCAACCAAATGTCTTTCTAATTCCACAGTATTCAGGGCTACTGCACATTTTCCAAATTAACTTGATTTTTGATTCAAATGTCTTCTAATTTCCCCTTTTCTGTATTAGGCATGTTATTGATGATTAAGCGACAACACAGAAGATGATGTTTCACATTATCTAACAACTTTTCCTGACTTTATGTTTATGTGTGATAATGTGTTTAATTTGTAGGCCAACCCAAAGTTAACAATCTTTTTGTTTCTCAGTTTTAACAACAATCTCTGATTTAAGACTGACAAATATTTTAAAATGCACATACGTTCCAAGCTCCGATGGTTTGTTCTGAGCTGCTCTAGCAGTTCTCTGTAGCTGGAATCAGACAAGAGCTCACGAGTACGAGCATCACTCTCCAGCTTCTGATACAAGTTGGGCATGGCGAAGGGGTTCATCATTGATTTCTCTGGTAAAGCAAAAATTCATGTTTATTAGTGTATCTTACATGGTCGTAAAGAACTACTCGGAATGCACGCCATCTTGCACTGGTCCAGGATTAAATTCAGAGCCTTCTCTCCTCTGTAACCCCTACTGCTTGTGCATTGTTTGAATGAATCACAACACTCAAAACCCAAGTGGACTGCCTACTCTCCTTCTGAAACATGAGCACTCACAATGTTATTTTACTTTAGTGTCTGTTCTGTCTGCAGTCATCTCTAAATCCTCTACCCACGTAGGCGGGAAAAGTGAGTCACACTGTATTTTCACTTTCTATTGGCACTTTTTATGAAGAATTAAAGGCACCACAAATTCAACAGTTCCTACCTGCAAGCCGGGCCTCAATGTTCTGTAAACCCTCCTTTAGCTGCTGATTATTTGGCTCTTGCCGGAGTCCCTCTTGGTAAGTTGCTTTAGCATCCTCCAATCTGCCAAGAAATTCCAATGCTGCGGCTTTGCGGGAGTAGCCCTGGTTGATCAAAATTGAAAAACTGTAAATTGCCTTATCAATTGTTATTCCTACTAGTTGACATAATGGCAAAGCAAATGACATCTCACTTTGCCCCAGTCAGGCTTGATCTTGATGGTCTGACAGGCATCCTGGAGAGCATTCTCATAGTTGCCTTTCTTGGCGTAGGCAGCTGAGCGGTTACTGAACAGGACATGGTTTGAAGGGTCAAGGGCCACAGCTTCAGTGTAGCAGCGTACAGCCTCATCAATATTCCCTGCACTCAGCGCCTTGTTGCCCTGGTCTTTCAATGCTGAAACCTATGAGACAGGAAGACACAATCAAATTAAGCATTAAGAGACAAATTCACAATACAGTTTTACTGCCCACTCTTACACAAATGCACATGTACACAATCCCCAATAGAGAGAGGACATATTCTGCAGCTGCTACTGGCAGAATTGAAGAACAAAACTGACAACCACTCAGCTGTTCATGTCAGACAGGTGCAGCAGTGATGCAGAGAGATCATTTGTGTTTATTTTGTTAGTGCACATCCACAGTCCTACAGGTACAATCTACTCTATTAACCTGAAAATAAGATGAAGTTAATGGCCCTATAAATTACTGTTGTAATACATATTGTGAATTAAATAAATAATTGCACATACATTTGAATATTCAACTTCATTGATATTGATTCATTATGTAATATTTATTATTGATTTTTTAAAATTTTATCCAGCCACCACATGATTACAGACTCTTTCTGATGACTAAACAGACAACAGAATTTGGGGGGGGGGGGGGATTTACAAAATCAGCAAATTAAAATTGATTTCATAAGGCCTTATCCATGATCTCATCGCCCAATATCTGAATGTAGCATAACTGTAGCAAGCTCCATCGGGAGGTAGTAATTGTAGCAGTAAATATGTGGCCTAAACAGTGGGTCTAAACCCTAACCCAATTAAACAAGTTATTGTAGTTGATTACTGATACTTTCTTCCCACTGATATTCTGCAGGACAGCCTCCATATGCTGCCGAAAACACGGTGAGAAGAGGATCTGACGGAGGCTACTATCGTGGGCGACCCTCCTCCTTGTTTACAAAGTTTGACCGGATGCAGCATTTACATTTTTTCCAACAGAATATCTGACTCCACCCACACATCGACAAAGTCTTAAATGAACTAGCTTCTGCTAGTGTGGTTGCACTTTTGAGAGTCGGTTGACATGACGAGCTCTTGCTAGCGTGCTGACTCCATATGACTGTGTATGTATGTGGAGGAGGCGCTGAGACCCCATCTTGGTGAAACACCAACACAGAGAGCAGAGGACAGAAGCAGCATGCCCGTTAATGACACCAAAACATAGAAGCATCATTTTTGTCTGTGGGTTTGGCTGAAATGCTGTGAAAACACACTTATAATGCAGGGGAAACCAGCAATTTAGGGATGCAAACTTCACTGTATAGAAGGGAGTGAAAAAAATATATGCTGGTTCGTAAATGCTATTGAAAGTACATTAAGACGCAAAAAAAGAAAAAATCCTCTCTATAATAATTCTTGGGTTATATTAACAGGGTTTTTCCTGCCATTATAATGCTTAGGAGGTGCAGCACCAAACCAACAAAACAAAGCAGACGAAGAGGAGGCTAAAGCAGAACATAAATTAGTTGGCTGTCCAGGTTAGTGTCTGACACACTGTCAGATCTTCTAATGGCCCAGCTGTCCTCCCCAGAGATCAAGGAGTATGATCCATAGACTGTATAAAAAAATGTTGATCCACAAAAGCTGTGATGCTGAGGAAAAAGGACTGTCAGAACCATGAGGTTAACTATCTCAATTAAAAGTAAGGAAACAAATGTATGTGTGACACAAAAAGGCAATTTATTATTTTGGTCAGTAAAAATATGTTTGGCCTGTGGATTTTCTCATCTACCAGCCACTTTGGCAGGTGAGCCAAAAAGTTAATTTCCACCCCTGCTGCCCAGATATATTAACAGCTGGCAAAGTATATTTGGTGAACCATTTTAAGAAGAGGAAAAGAAAAAAGTGATGAGCAAGCGACAAGACAGTAGTAAATATCGGACTGGCTTTTACTCGTTGACATTAAAGAAAGCAAGACAGATGCAGAGCTGGCCTTCTGTCTGTTGGACTGGGAATTGCTAATTTTTTAGCTTGTTGTATCTTGTGGTGTTGCGCTTGCTTGATGTTTGCCTGTGTTAGCAGAGTTGTCAACTCGAGCAAAATCAGCCACATACAAAGGTTTAGCCGCTAGCTATAAATCCTGAGATGATGTTAGCAAACTTAATAGATAATACACTTGGACATCTGCAACGTTTATTGTAAGTGCTCTTGCATCGGTTGCCATCTTGTTGGCTAGCTGCCATCCAAGTTTCTTGCAACAATATGCTGCTGCTGGTGGAGAGTGGCCCCGGTGTTGGGCGACCGGGCTCTATCTATGGACATAACATTAGGTAATGGCAGAGGTGATGAGACAGGAGAGGATGTTGATGGAGGAAGCCAAGATGAGAAAGACAAAATGACAAGCAAGAGGCTCCCTGACATCAGCGATAGCTTTGTGAAATTAAAGGCCACAAGACAGACGCAAAAGCTGGCCTTCTTTCAAACATTTGGACTACTAAGTAATAATGCTATGTCTTGTATTTGGCTGTTAGCAAAGTTGTTGACTTGCTAATTTTGATGATAATCTATGTGTTACTTTAATGTTTCTACTACTATTCCTGTATATTTCACAATTGTTGACGTGATCATCCAACCAGCTGTACTGATAAATTATAATTCAGTGAAATTAGTCACAATAAGTATGATCCAAAGCCATGTGAGCATCTGCCTACTTGGAAAACCAAGACTGCACTGTATTATTAGAAGAAACTTAAGATAACACTTAGTTGACAACAACTTAAGCAAGAAATGCACAAGAAGGTTAATTTCAGTGAGGTGGTGTGGCTTTCTACTGGATATGGTCATTGGAGCATGAGGAAATCCTAGCACACTTCTTTTAGTCATTAGGAATCCACACAAAATTCTTTAGGTGACCAGTAATTATTTTAACGTTATAACACTAAGGTAACCACACAGTGGAACAGTAAGGTAAATAACAATTAAGAAACAAGCTGCATGACCGTCAATGTTTGTTCACATTGAATGATTTAGCAAATCACCATGTAAAATAACAGAATTCTTCACAGAACTTCTGGCCTGTAGTGTTTGGTGGCTTTGCCAGATAAGTTATGATGACTGGCCAGCTCAGGTGTTGTAATGCGTTTAAAAAAGTACAGTCTCAAAGTGAACGAATCAAACGGATCACTTGAACTGTCCAACGGCAGAACGTTCGAGAGAGAACGCAGCAGTTGTCGACAAAATGCGGCTGTAGCTATGACAGCGGTGCCGTGTGCACCTAACGCTCCTCCGGTCTGAGTGCAGGCTACTGAAGACAATGCTGTGGCCGATCCAAAAATACTCCTGCACCATGTGCTACAGACGGATTGCCGCAGTTTAAATTGTAGGTCTTGTGATACACGATTTTAACACAAGGGATTTACGGCTAAATCACGGCTTTCATTTGCACGTCACCTCATTAATGTCAGCGTCCACGCTGTGAGCTAACGTTAGCTGTTCGGTGATTTGCTAAGGGTTTAGTGAACTGCTTTGTTATATCGAGGCATGCACATGGGCTGTAGTAGCTGGCAAACCATACCGTGATAATAATAAAACAGCTGTGACAACTTGGAGGGCATGTTAGCTTAACAATTAACGTTAACGCTAATCTTGTCGTGAGCAGTCATAAATTAGCCACATCCGTAACTTGTACTCAAGAAAAAACAGTTAACCTAGCTACGTTAGCACTTTTCGGGAATTGAGTTTAGCTATGTTAATTTACACTGAAGACTAGCGTTGCGAAAAATACGTTTTGGGTGACATTATCAAGCCATTCAGACAACACTGACCACACAGCTGCAACACATTACTACCAGACTGAAGCTAAAATAACAAGCTAGCTAAGTTAGCTGTCTGATATTAGCAAACAGTCCTGGTGTAAAGAGGGGGTTAACTACACTAACCTCCAAATTCTTATTGTTAAAGAGACTTCAGATTAAAGTAATTCGGAGAAATGAATCGATATTTCTTAAATATGTAGGTTTTATAATAATTATAAAGATAGTTGCAGGACACTCACTTTCTCCATGGTGCAAGCATGAGGTTCCTTCCAGAAACTACTGCGTACTAGCGCCTCCCCCTGAACAACGTACAAGTTGCCAGTTTGGGATGTAAAAAATCCGTAATCAACGTTGAGATTTACATTGCACCAGTGAGGGTGTCGTGAGGGACAATATATAGCCCAGGAACGGAAACTTCCAGAAGGTTAAGGAAGATTCTACGGATGTGTTTCATAGACAGTAACTAAGTACATTTATTCAAGTACTGTACTTAAGTATAAATCTGAGGTACTCGCACTTTACTTGAGTTGAGTTGAGTTGAGTTGAAGACTTGTAACTGACTGATAATGCATTTGGGGACCGGTGAGGTAACGTTAGTTAGGGACCATGGCTGGAAGTGAGAGGACAAATCTCAAAGCAGCAAATATATCATGCTTAGGTCAGCCATTACGTCTCTCATGCTTAATTTGATAGTTCTAATCATTAAAGTTAATCATTGCCTGGTAGGGCATAAACACAAATAATCTCTTAATACATTGAGGGGTAAAACTAGTAGATTGTGTATGGTGCCGCCATATGGTGTCATCATCTATGTTCATTATTTATATGCCATCATTATATTACACCATGTGTTATTACATTATCATCAAACGATTTACAGACGGCCACTTTTACATAAGTGAGTGCCTGTGGCCAGTGAGGATTAAAGCCAGGTTTCCCTTTGTTTTTAGAATAAATGCCGGTTGTCTGTGGTGTTTTTAAATCTTGCTCTCTCATTGGCAATCTCCTTGTAATTAAGCCAAAGTCACACCAGACTGTGGGTGAACAAATACAGTAGACTTGGGAAGTTGATGAATGCATTTGATTTACATAAGATCCAAGCATTTACAATATATGGGACCAGATGTAGGCTTCTGTTGTCCCGATTTACTTTTTATTTTTCATTGCTGAAATTTAGTTTCTTTTTTAAAACATAAATATAATCAATCAAAACAAATCTATGCATGCTGTTCATATTGGATATACTACTGTTAGAACTCATATCCATGTACACATCTACCCATACATAAAATAAATAAATATTTTTATCCCAGCATTCTCTGCACTCCATTGCACTATTGTCTTGTACTATCTGCACATGTTATTGTTTTTGTTTATGCTTATAGATGTATATCGGTTCATAGTTGTTTATGTATATTTTTTTGAGCTTGTTGTCCTGTTTATTCATGCTTATTCTATGTACAACTGGGGTCATACTTGAATTTTACACATAGCCTACCTGGCCAATAAAAGTGATTCTGATTTTGATTTTCCACGACCATGTTTTTGATGTGTGGCACCATCTCTATCTTACCTCAACCCATTATAACTGCAGGATGCTTTCTGAACATTGTCTTTGGAGTAGCATAACCTTTTAGCAGACACTGTATAAAAAATATCATATTTTTTATATAACAGCATAAGTGAACTGAATTGTTTGATAGGCCACATAGTTTGTCAGAGGCAGAGGATGTAGTGGAGGCCATCCTGAATAGACCATTCATGCTGCTGTTGCCATGGATTCACAGACAGAGGAAACACAAGATAGAGAAGCCCGAGTGTCAAGATCAAAGAGTGGCCACACACTCGCTGAGGCTGAAATTAGCCCCAGGCTCTATGCAAAACAAAGAGCACAGCTGGTAGGTCTGTAGCCTTTGCCCTTGTCTCCCCTTATAGACTCTCCAACAAGATGCCCCATCTCTATTTACCTAAGTTCATCCCCTGAAACTCCACAAGGAGTCAAATTGAGGTCAAGACAACATACTATGAGCAGCAGCTGTATGGTCTGTAACAAATGAGATGAAACTTATGACATGACTGTCTCCTTTACAGATTTTTAGTACACTCCAGTTCTTTAATAAGCATTTATGTGCAATGGGTGTTCTGTGTTTTCCTGTAATTAGCATGGTCTTATCAGGGATGGGTGAGAGGGACTAAAATTTTTTATCAAAGATGGAAATGTCTCATACTCTAATGGTCTGTTCTCTACCTTGCTTTCTCATTCTCCCCTGAAAATAAAATTAAAACATGGTGACATCTGGTGATTTGTCCTAGGATTCTGTGCTAAGTTTCACTTTGCACATAGAAAAAAATATTGTCAAGATCACACTAGCTGAGTCATTACCATCCACATTTGAAAATAAAAAAGGGATATGAATGAACTTGGTGTGCAAGACAGGACTCACATTTGCCATCTTAATGCAATGTTGGGGTTATAAAGCAAGTCAGGGAATTTGCTAGGCCTAATGATCACACATGATTAGCACTTATTCACAGGTGGATTCAGAGACAGATAACAAGAGAGACCAAGAAAGAAAATACATAGGCTAGAATGTGTGTATATGTGTGTGATGACGTTCTCCTAACATCTGCCCTTATCTCTTCAAAGTCATGCAGTGTAATGTAACCGTATCATTGACAGTGCAGGTGGTTATACATACCAGTGAAAGTCACAGTATTTTAATCTGGGTCAACTGCTAGTAAAGTTTAAGCCAGTTTTTCACTGTATTGAAAACAGGTTTCAGGTCCTATAGATAGATCAAATATCCTAGTTTTATGTAAAGATGACTGTCAGAAATTACCTGCTTACATTAGGCTACCTATACAAATGTGGGGATTAACGAACCTCAATGTTATATGTCAACAAATTATGGAGTTGATGCATACTACATGAGGCAGTAAGTGACGCCAGTGACGTTTGTCAAATACAATTTCCCCCTTATTTTAAAAATGCACCAGGGCTCTGAGTAAAAAATAAAAATACTGTTGACAGTATTTTCGACCTAAATTATCTGAATCCTCTCTGGGTTGCATTTAGGACCTCCGAGTTTGATAGAGGAACGCAAAGGCAACATCAGTCACCAGTAGCTTTTGGCGCGTGTTGCTTTCCAAAGTGCTGAATTGGAAAAGAGATTTTGTCGTATGTTGTCGCCAATAAAAGTGAGTTTGTAATTATTTAATGTACAATGTTCATAGAAAATAGCAAAGCAAGAACCGTTACAAGTGATAGCTGTACATTACAGCTGTAATGATACCTAGCTAGATGAGCTGTCTACATGTAACGTTAATAACGCTAGCTTTTTAGCTAACTAAGTTAATCTAGCTACCTTCTAGATAACAGTACACTTGTTGCTAAACTAACAAAAAACAAAGCAATATTGTCAAGTATGTCCAACTGAGTTAACCTACACCTTTTAAAACCAAGTGAGTGACCAAAGCAAACCAGGACTTCACTTATAATTAAGGTCTTTTCGATTTTCTTATCTCTATCTAGCTAACACCATCTGCTAACTTAATTGGATGAGCTGTGCTTTCTAATCAACCACAATGAGGAGACAGGAAAACCAGATGCCCAGGCCAACAGCCGGTTTGTTCATTCCAGATTTATTCTTTTCCTCATATTAATAGGTTGCTTTGATTTCTGCCTGTGTCTTGTGGTGTAAGAAATGTTTTTTGTGCTTGTTCGAGAGTTCAAGTTATTGAGGTGATTTGTTTGATAATATTTAAAATATCCTAAAATAGTGAATTTGCTTTTTTGTGGTGTACCATATCCAAAACAAGTATATAGTACACGGTATTATGTGGTTGTTAAATTTATAGAATCGTCAAGGCATATTTTTGTCTGGTCCAATGTACTGAGTCTAATGTGTTCAGATGTGTTTCCTCTGCTGTCTCCATCAGGCTGCCTGCCTGTGCCACTCTTTAACCAGAAGAAGAGAAACAGAGTTCCTTTGACATCTGCTCCCTCTGAGAATGAATTTTTCTCCCATAGTGAATACATAGCAAACACCAGCTCATCTACATCTCACAGCACATCAGGTGAAGCTTTCAGTTAGACCCTTTAAGCTCCCACAGTATTTCTGTCACTAGGTGGCAGTACAACAAAGGACAATATAAGTGCACTTTAAATAGCAAGTGAGCTTAATTTTTCTACCCTCAACTGTGTGAATATACTTTGAAATGTTGCTGTTGAATGTTGTTTAATGTCTAACTGCTCAAAATCACCATTTTACATAAAACCAAGGACACTCCACATGAATTAAGATACACATTCACAACAGCAGATAGTGGATCCTGCTCTTTAAGGTGCTATAAACTGCTGAGAATGTACCTTTCTTTAGGTACCTGTGGATCTTACCATGCCTCAGGTCTGCCCTCTGGTGCTCCACAAAGCCACCAGTGGAAGAGACAGGGCATCTACTCCCAATCTACTCCGCCGCAGCAGTACTGCAGCAACAGACCTGCTCCTGGACCTGCCCTTTCAATGAGAACACATGCACCCATACCACATCCATACAAAGGTGGAGGAACAAGGTATGGTGGACCTTCTAACCATTAGTATGATGGTCAGTGGTTTGACCCGTTTGTCATAGTTTATTAACTATGAAAAATGCTGAAAAATCAGAAATTCCCAATTCACCCACAAGCTGTTTAAATATGACAGTTTTACATATTTATACATTCTGAAATAATACAAAAGTTAGTTTAAGTAACCACATTTCCACCTTAAAACAGGTGGAAATGTTTACAGAAATATGGATACCCTTGTTCCTAGCTGTAACAGGCAGCAAACAAGGTTCTTGTTCGAACCATGATTTTACAGTAAGTTTTAGTCATGGTCCCAATATGTGAAAAAAGGGTTATGTATTTTCATTTTCAGCTCTAAGATGGGACAGCCCAGCAACCCAGTGAGACAAGTGGATGCCAGCCCCAGTGCTAAATCCAGACAAAGCGAATATCAAGTCCCCCGCATCAGTGAGAATGTACAAAGCAAGCAACCCCCCCACACTGTGTTCTCTCAGATGGGCCAGCCGTCATCTTACAGACCAAAAATCCCACACATCAGTCTTTCCAGCAGTCCAGACCTCTGCCTCCTCCTGTCCCACCACCCAGCAGGCCCTCTGCTTGTGCAGCGCAGCCACAAAATAACTCCTGGAAGTTTACTAACATCTTTGGGCAGCAGAAATCCACCTTTGAGGGAAACAGGGGCACAAGACAACCTCAGACTGGACAGCAAACTCGAATTCAGGTAGAAACATATTTGGAAAATAAATAACATTATACAAAGACTTCAAAAACTTGCCGTTAACGTTTCATGAACTTGTTCATTTTCATATCATTTGTAATTGTGCTCAGCAGGAAACAATGAAGCCAACCATTGAAAACTCACTGAGAATCCTGACTGCAGTAATTGATGGCATGAGACACTGGAGCCAGTTTAAAGACAAAGTCCCATACTTATTTGAGATATTTGGTCAGTTGATTAGGGGTTGCTGTTGTTTTTTATGTGTAATGTTTAATATCTTTAAACACCATTAAACTGACAGGCTATGCTCTTCCATTAGCTACTCTAGACTCTGCGGTCACACTGGGTCGCCACGGAGCCAAGAACTTCCTCATGAGAGATGGCAAGGAGGTTATCCAGTGTGTCTTCTATGAAAATGTGAGTTGGGATAAAAAGCTTAAGAAGTAAAATGAATGATGTGTCATGAGTTTATCTGAGAGACAATGTAAATTTGCACACATGAAATTGCTCTAAGTCTCCTTAGCTTCAGTCAGACAAATATAGGGTGTTTATTAAAAATGACTTAGTGTTGTCCATGTTTTTATTTGCTGTTGAAGGGTTTTTTGGGAGCTTTTCCTTTCCCGAATCCCAGGTCTAAGGACAGAGGGTGTTATATATACTCTATAAACTATGAATTGTAAAGCCTAAAAATTGACTTGTATAGTAGTATGATGATTATGATGCACTTTGGTTATTCTGTATATTTACTGTTCAAGTAAACCTGTCAGTATGCAAGTACGTATGAATATGATACTATCATCATTATCCTTGGTTTGAATTTATTGTGTGATCTTTTCTGTTATTGTTCTATCTTTGAAGGCTGGGTAGATGAGCTGCTCAAACAGGGATAGTGAAATCAGGTTTACATCATTATGTCCTCTTTGCCCATAGGTGACTCAGCGGTTACTGAGAAATCTTACTTAATGTGTTTATTATTTGTATGATTTGATGCTGTTCAGGTTATCTTATACTTACCTGAGCAGGTGGTACTGTAGGTTCTAGTTAGGTGAGGCTGAGAAAGTGCAATACCTTTCACCTGAGTAGAGGGAGGGAGGAGGTGGCAGCTTGCTGTGAGGTTGTAGTTTTCAGTGTTTGTTTGTTTTGGTTGTTCTTCTTTTTGCTTCCGTTCTTTTCATTGAATTTCCTGTGGTTAAATTTTTGCCTCTGTTTCATTAGTATTTTTGCCACCTTTTTTACAATTACTACTGCATATTGACCCGTGAACATTCTCTTTAAATGGCGTTTTGGAAATATTCGGCTTGGCAAACTAAAATAAAATAGCACTGGAATCAGACTGGACTTAATCTTCAATTCTGCTTCTTATCCAACAGGAGCAGGAACTGCCCCGACTCATCCGTGGTCAAGTTCATCGCTGTGTGGGAAACTATGACTGCAGCAGAGATGTCCTGATGTGTGTGTCCGTCAGACCCGGCCTGCCCTCAGAGCTGAGGAACGCTCAGGAGGCTGTCAAAGCCTGCGATGCAGAAATGAGGGCACTGGTCAAATCACTCAGTGAAGTCTGAGCATGGGTAGAAATCTTCAGCAGTACTGATAGGAAGAAAGTATACTAGTATTTTATGAGGTTACATGCGAGCCATGCTATATAGTAATATATAGCTGTTGTTATTATTAGCAGCAGTCCCTGTAGTTTTAAAAAGCATGTTTAAGGTCTTAGGTTTTTGACCAGTAGGGGGTGCTGTTCATTTGTTGCATGCAAACAAAATACACTAGCACTGAACAGTTGAATTCACTTGTATGTTCTGCCGTAGATGTTTTTGTATTTATGTGTGAAACAAATATATAAATAGCTGTTTCATTTGACCAAAACGTTAACGGGAAGTAAAGCCTCTCTTTTTGTAAGTTCTGAAATATTTTTATTACAAAGAAAATTCACAGAACAGCAAACATTGTTTAGAGGTTAAATCCGGTAAAGCAAACACTATGAGGTAATATCTCAAAATATATCTTTGAAAAACGGGGTAGTTAAGAATAACGCGTATATCAAGTACAGTTAGTTTATTTACAGTCAAACATCACAATGGAAAAAACAATAATTCTACTCTACCTAAACAGTTTCACCAGTGCTGAGACTTTACACACAATGGTTCAGCAAATTTGGAAACAAGTCCAGTGCAGTCACGCTAGTCATTCCCACAGTCAAGCACAGTATGAGGTCCAATACAATACCAACATTTCTCTCCTGACCGTCTTCCAAATATGGCAACATAATCACAGTAATTTTCTTAATGTCAGGACATGTCATTATGGGAACCCAAATTTGGGAAATATTTCAATATTAACCCATTAGCAAAATCCAGCCCAGTATTTAACACTAATACACACATAAGCACCCACTAGGAAAGGGAGTCTAGCTTTAATGAAATTGGCAGTGTACAGGGACAGTAAGTGGAGAAGTAGACATTTTGTCCTTGGAACATGACAGGAATGGTGCCAGCGCTTAAAAGAAGAAGTGGGTTGACGAAAACACAGCAACACATTAGCTTATTCGAGGAGCTAATTATAAGCCACGTTTTACACATAATGCGAATAATGTGTCAGCTCAGCACAGATAACCAACAGCGAAGTTCAATTTGTACAGCTCCCTCCTCTACCACTCAATTTTAAAATCACAGTAGACAAGGATGCCAGGAATTAATCTGTTAGCTGCATGTCACAACCTTTTAATATAGTAATTCAAGTTACCTCTTCTAGATAATTGGCAAAAATGTCTCAGGCCATAATTGAACACAAGTACGCTGCTATTCTTTTTTTTCCCTTCTCTCTGCCATTACCCCCAAGGATTAGAAGACATTGTCTCTTTTTTTATCCTCCAGAACATTTTCTAAAGTTAATGAGATCATACTGCATCAAGTACAGGAGAAATGTTTTCCCTCTGAGAGGAAAAAATATAGTAGAAAAAAAAACACATCACACAACAGGATCCACAGTTTTTCAGCAAAAAAGATGATAACCTGATAATTGTATTAAACACTTGTCTTTGTTATGTTAAAAGGCACAAGTTGGTCAGATCACATTTAAAATCTAGATCAATTGTTCTACCATTAACAAAGCCCATATTATCATGCATTTTTTTTGAGACAAAATTCCTACATCTCCCTGCCTTTTGCAATACTTTTTTCCTGATAAAGAGCGTTTAGTATAGTGTGTTTTAGACAGAGAAAAAAAAATTGCATGTTTAACAAGCAAGTTACATCACACAAACAATTCTGGGGAAAACAAAAGGATGCAATATGCCAGCACACAACTGCACTGAAACCACTACTTATTATTATGATTCTCTTCCTTGTTATGAGAAGAGATTTCCATTTGTCCTCTCGGCAGGTCTTATGCTGTATCTATTGTCCTTTTCTTTGTGACAGTTACTAAATGCACTGTCTTTGAAAGCTGAAACATCTTCTTGACTCCCTCTGGTTCACTGCCTGGTCACAAGACTGGAAGGCAGAAAAGGTCCGGAGTGCCAAAATCCTTCAAAGCATCAGAGTCTCTTTTCAGTGTGGTGTTTTGAAACCCCAAACATCAGCTCTGTTAAATCCAGACCATGTACAGTCCAAACGCTTCAGCACAAAACATTGTCAGTAGATGCAACTCCTTAAGAGGTGAGATGCAACCATTGAAAGGGGCTCCCTCGTTGAGTCAAATGTTCTTCAAAACCTCTGATTGAAACATTATTTGACTGGACGAGTCATACTGCCACACAATCTCATGCTTCCACTCTTTTCCAACTTCCAGTCTGTTTTTGGAATGTTATACATGTTGTTGTTAACCACAAAAAAAAAAGAAAAAATCACATTTTTACTAGTACTTGTTACATTTGTGGTCATTTTCTTAAATCATGTGAAATTAGCTTCAGTCCTTTCATTTTCTGACTGCATCTCCAGAACTGACATGAAGAAAACAGATACGTCAAACTGCAGAAAACGCATGATAGATTTGAGGGTAAAAATAACTACAGAGGATTATTGTAACATAAAATGTTCCATTTAAAGGAACTGAATTTGAATTAATTACATAACAGATGGAGGAAGACAGTGTTTGTTGTTGAGTATCAGCTTCAGTTATCACTGGTGGAGTGGGGCTTCCCAAACAGCATCGCCTTTAAAATCGGGATGCAGGTGTCTCTCCATGACATCAAGCGCAGATTAGCGAGAGTGGTCAGGAGGGAAATAAACAAGACTACGTATCAATGCACTATAACAGCGTGGGTAAAGGGGTGGGGGACAGCTGCTCCTTTGGTGCATATTTGGCAAAAAAGGGCAAGAAGACGGTGAGCATGACTCCGACGATAGCCAGCATGTAGCCCCAACCGATCTGGCACTCGCCGGCGTAATAGATGTCAGAGTCCCCGCAGAAGGACCTGACCAGTGAGGAGTTCAGGCCGAAGGGATAGACCAGCAGTCCAGCAGCCATGATGAACACTGCAGAGAAAACAGAGTCAGAGAAAACTGAGTGAGTTTGACAGCAGACAGTATATTTATATAAGCTGCTGAAGGAAAGGTTTAGTACAAAAACAAGATGGAAAAAATGCTGTTGATTCTGAAATTACATGTTCATTGGGAAGTTTATTCTTTGATAGACACAAAATATACTCTCACATTTGTTTAGTGTGGCCATGGAGATTGTTTAGGTTATATTTGGCCATGCAGGGTTTGAGATATGTCTGTATATTTTCGCCTACACCTCAGTATAATGAATGTATGAATTAATGTGAATGATTGTGGTTGTCACAACACTGAAAAGAAAAAGTGCTCTGCTACTCTGGATAATCTACACACTCCACTTTGAACAGTTTTAACAGGAAGTACTTTTTATGAAATAGTCCCATTTAAAACTTTAAAAAAGCCGACAGACACTAATGTCCCAAAACCATCCACATGGCTAGTCATCACTAAATAGAAGTGAGAAAATGTGATTGATTATTTTTGTAATTTGAGTAAACCAACCCTTTGATATCCTGATGGCTAGATCTGTATACTGTAATAGGTATGCCAACTAAGAGCCCCTTGGTGGCAGTAGAGGTTTAGCCGAAATCACAACAGTCTGACTGAGAGTTGAGTGTGTAATTTAGATACTTCATCAGTCCTGAAGTACCTTCATTTGCAGTGAGACCTGACTGATTGTTGCTTTGTGTTACATATATAAAAATAAATCATGACCTAGATAGTTTTTAAGTCCAACGGTGACAGAACAGAGCTTTTAACTTATTAAACAACAAAGGCTCTGATTACTTGTAATTGACAGAAACTTCTAATGCAAAATGATTCATGTCTTCTCAAATCCATTTGCACTCCTCATTTTAAAACTCTGGGGCTTCATAAAAAGAAGACATCCCACCACCACCCCACATCCCCGCGCTTGTGCTGCGATCAGCTTTCTCAGACACTGTCCCCCATGCAGCCCAAGAGCAGCTCACTTTTACAAATTGAGTCAAGTCTCACAGCCCATGCTGCCAAGCAGTTATCGACTGCGCTACAGGCTATCATTGCTGCTCTTAGTCATTCTGAGTGCCGGCTGGGTTTCAATTACGATGCCAGGTGGTCATGGTTGTTTTAGCTTTGGAGAGCTGGGGTTACTGGTAAAGCTCAAAGTTGTGATAGTGACTAGCTCTTGAGAAAACACAACAACCGTCTTTTATTACGCTGTATTGATTTCAGGAGATTTCCGTTTTCCTACTTTCCAGGGCAGCGCCGTCGTGGTCAGTGAGAAACAGTGCTCATATGAGAGCTACAATGCATTAGCTGTGTGAAATCCATGGTTTGTGTGGGCAGTGAAGGATTGTGTTAGTAGAACAGGGATGGGTGAGGTAGGAAGCTTTCACACTTGCACACTAGGGGCTTTAGGATTTACTGTTAGCATGAGAAAAGCAGAATGACAGGGAATAAACAGAAAGAAAGGGGTCTGAATGGGCGAAGGAGAGGTATTTCTTGAGTGTGGTTTGTCTAGATTGGAGTTCATTGAGGGTCTGCCTCTCAGCCTTGCGTATCCCAACCCTATACCCAGCCCTCCCACCTGTCAAAGTGGCCCCATGTTTTAACTGCAGGGGCCCAGTGGCTCAAACTCACTGCCTAATGACACTTTAATGACCTTCTTTATCAAACTATCATTGGCTTGTGTGAAAGAAATACAAAGACACAGGCGTGCATTCGCAACCCAAACCCACTGCCCTAATCCCTCCTACACTGAAATGATGGCATTTAAAGGAAGCTTGGGCTCAAAACCTGAATGGATAAATAATTAACAACACTGTATAACCCCCAAATAATCAATACGATTTTATCAATCACACCAGGAGGGAATGCAGGTAGGGTGTCTGGATCAGATAAGCTGCAGCTCAGGCTGACTGGATCTCTGCAAGCCATTAATGAGAGGAGGTCTGTCAAAAAACTGTAAAATCAGCCTCATATCAGAGGGAATCCTTCAAATCAGAGAGGGATAAAACCAAACCAAAGTGCATTTGCACGTCTTGAAAGGGAACTCCACCGATTTTACACATCAAAGGCTGTCTACAAGAGTACTACTGCATTTGTTAAAAAAAAAAAAAAAAAAGTATAAAACCTTTTGTGGCTCCAGAGAGAGATGGGTGTAGTCTGATAAATGTCGCTAACTAATAAATGACAACCAATAAATGGCCTCCTGGGTGAGAGCTGGATTTTATCAATCTGCTGACTCAAGACAAGATCGAAGACTACAAGTCTGAAAAGAAAAAATCTGGAGGTGTGGAGTTAGAAAGAAATGAGCTTACTAGACCTCTCTAGGCTGTCGACTCGAGGCTAGGCTCGAGGCTACATTAGCTGCTACTAACATAAGACACCCAA